TGATTGAGAGTATCTCTTTGCTCTATAAAACGAAATATTTGTTGTCCAGTGCCCAAACCCCGCTGCTTTGCGGTCAGCTTTTTGAACCAAAGGCTTTCATTGAGAATCCTAACCGTTCTCCTGTCTAGGTTTGAGCAACCTGACAGCATCCTGCCCGCATATTACAATGAACTACTTTTCAACCAATTTCTTGACGCTATCACCTTCGGAGAAGTTAATCAACGATGCCCTACCTGCTGCACCGAGCAGGGTGGGTAGGAATGCGGATGCTACGGTTCAGTCCCTCTCCTCTTCTTATTCGTTTTGTTATACTTTTATCCTCATCGTCCTGTTCCAAGTTCACTTTTACCCCTGATATTTTCAGCTACCAATTCTTGGCCCTCCTCATCTTACTTTTATGGATTTTTGTCTTTTAATTTCGACTTACACACAATCGCAGAGTGTCGCTCCGGTTCAGTCGGCACGCACATGTTAAACGTAGCAAACAAGGTCATTTCATCCGTTCCTATTTGAAGCCCCTGATCGTCGATAGGAGTGGCCTGTCTCGAAGTATGCACTTTGTTGCAGCTCGGTCAACAGGCGGCACTCGCCCGAATTGTAGACCCTATCGATCGATATCTGCTGCTTATCGGTAACCCGCCTACAAGACTCGAGCTCTGTGCTCACCCTGCAACACTGGTGTTAATTTCACATTACTCTTGTCCACACATGACGCATCTTCTAATGTCGGCCAAGTTAGTGTAGGCATTGCTCTGAATCCGCGGGTCGAAGTTGCTCTGATCATTTGGATCCCAGTCAACAGCCGGATCTGCGCCATCGGACTTGGTTGGCTCTCTTCAAATGTCGAAATCGCACGGGGCCAACAGGTGCCTATCTGTCATTGCTGCCTACCCTCCCACAAATTGCAGCGCTGACGATGAAACCTGGCTTCTATTTTTAACTGTACTAGCTCCTTCTTCACATAATGAGTAAGGATACTGTAGTGCTAGCTAGTGATCTGAAAGCTCATTATAGGAAATTGTCCAATGATAATGTTCTTCTGGGCGATCAGCACGATGTGGGATCTTGTAATGATAATGATGAGCTGTTGCTGCTCGTCTTCTTTTCGCAAACACTGACTTCCGACACAGCATTCGTCAAGAGTAACAGCGCCCACTAGTCCCAGGCCATCCATGGATGCAAGTCGGTCATATAACGATCGGCTACCTTGTAGAGTTTGCGTCCAAAGCTGCTGCTCGTTACACTTCTATGTGCAGCATCGACAATGAGTGCATAGACACTTACCAACAAATGAAACGGGGTACTCTAAATGCGCACTGACATCCGAGCTGAGTAGGCACACATTTGAAGGTAAATTATTACATATTCACCAGAAGTTATTAGCGTCAGGTATGCCTCCGCCCGGCGGCATGGGCAACTAGTTTCTACCGATGGAATTTCTGGATGCTCACCAACACATTCCTGCTAGGAGCGAACACAACGAGGCTCACAAAGGTCTCAGGGGTAAATCGTATGCTAGCTTGAAAAACGACTGTGAAACTTCATTGCTTTCATTTTGAATCGGAGATGGGAACTGCCGCTGCTCTTGGTAACCATCGGGTTATTCCACTTGATACGGGAAACGGACAGCATTAGACCTGGGGTTAGTTAAACTATATGCGATGAGATTGGACAGTCTATCCACAATTTATCAAGACGCTTTGCGTTTTGGGCTGAACACTTCGAAAAGCAATTTGATCGGTCATCGATCACCACGCTGCCTAGGCAGTTTTTTGGATCCTCCTTGCACGGAAGTCTTACGTGAGATAATACTGTTGCAATTACCCAAGGCGGCAGGACTGAATGATCTCCCTTCACACTCGGGTGACCAGCTCTTGTAAATGATTTGCGCGATGTATTCAGGAAACTGTCACAATTGACTGGAGCCGCTCGGTTATTGTTTATATTTTCAAAGAAGGCACACGTTCACAATGTGGCAGTCATAAACGACTCGTTCTAATCTCCATCGCCTCCAGGTTGCTTTGCCCCCTCGTTCACAAACACCCGTGAGAATCAGAATCGTGAAGAGTAGGCCAGGCCTCGTCGAAATCGAACCTGCATGTGTTCACATCTTTGTGCCAATTATTATAGCACCGTCACATATACTTGCAACCCCTAGTAATCTTGTTTCATTGCCTCAAAGCCGCTTTGAATGAGGTTTTGGGACTGTTTGATTAAGAAAGGTGTTCCCGGATAACACGTGTAAATCATCAGAGCACTGAACACATTTCGGGCGGAGTAAGGGTTTATGGCAGGATGTTGCCGTCCTTCAGTATCTCCAGTCGTGAAAGACAGGGATGCCACCTGTCACGGTTGCTTTTTAACTATGCTGCGGACAAAGTTCTGGAAACTACTCTTAGATGATCGACTTTTCGGATTGTAGTATGCTCTCCCTAACTGTGACAGCTCACAAACGTGCCAGTCAGCACTAGTCAGATTAGCGCTGGCTATTAGCCGTTTTGGGATTTGCTTCGCAACTTTCAAATTATAACCCTTTTTCCAAGACTGGCAGTGACCACCCCTCCGTATTGATACTTAATGTGGATCAGCTAGCAAGTGTACAGCAATTCTCCTACCTTGGCAACTGTATCAGCACCCGTTTAAAAGAAGACGTAATCACCAACTGTGTAGCCAAAGTTCGTCGGCCGGTGGCCGAGTGGTTTGCACGTTTGCTTTGCAACCATAAGGTCACCGGTTCGAATCGGCGTAGGAGTGGGCGTTCTGGCGGTATACTCAGCCCGCGCGCGACTGGTGGTGGTTGCGCGGCAACGAAGTGCCGTTACGGCGTACAGCTTACACCTTCATTCATTCATTCAGCCAGAGTTCGATGCGATTTTGCTCCGCTTCGCTGCTTGTGGCAGCTGCGCGACATCAGTCTCACTCTGGACGGTATCTACAATAATTTGCCCGTTCATACCTACCATATGGTTGTGAAACCTGGCCTATCGGAACAACAAACGTGGAGCCTAGTTACGTTCGGTCACCAATGCTTTGGCGGTTTAACGCCTATCTGGTAGGAACACCACATGAACAATGGGCGTGTTCGACGCCTTGTCTGACACAGGAAGAGGAAATGAACCGCTCAGCACCGTTATTTCATGCACCAAGCTCCGATGGCTTGGCTACGTGTTGTGCATGCCAGCACACCGATTTCTGTGATGTGCGTTGTTTTCGCGCCGGGGGTGTGGATGGAAGAAAAGTAGGAGAAGTCAATTGATTACCCGGTCAAGATGTTTGACTCCCGAATCTTTGATAGCACTGTACTGTGTAGAACGATGATGGTTGTAAGCATCAAAAACATTTGGAAATTAAAGCAGCGCGTATCCCGCCGGTAATTCAACAAAAACCACCCCGGAACCGAGATAACGGTGCTATTAACCAAATAAACATACCAAAAACTGGCAATACATTAACGATTGCCAAACAGATCCTTCAATACAAATACAATCTATGGGTCAAGTCCGCAGGTTAACTCGAGAACCAAAATACAATCAACTAATCTCAACAAAGCCATGGTAAAACACAGAGTGTACAGATAAGTCGTGCAATCTGACCAATAGCAATATGTGGTCGCCGACCAATCGGGCTCGCCTTGACAGGCCTATAGCCACATACAGACAGCACCCAGCGCTCCCGTAATGGGTCACACAGTTCAAATCACTGCAAATTCTCCTCGACTGTCAGGTAGTCAAAGCATAACACAAAATTAGGTATATGAATGGGTGGGTGGGGCCAAGGTCATTGGAAGTGAGACGGGACTGAACAGACAGGTGATGTCGGGAAAGAACACAGTTCAAACAGAGGTGATGCCGCTGACGGGGATGAAGCGGAATTTGCACGTAGAGGAAACAGGAGCATAGTGAAATGCCATACCAGGTGTTGTCGATGACGAACCGACTCCAGACAGGGGCTTGGCATGTGTAAATGTCATAGCAGACACGAAACTCCGGTTACCATGGTTATTATCTTTTTTGCGATTATTATTATTACTATTATTATTATTATTGAAAGTTGTAGTAACGTGATTGTACACACTCCCTCCTTTCTCGGCACTAGGTTCACCGGCGCCGTCGCTTTTTATTAGCCGTTACCATTCGGAAAATCGGACCCATAAGATAAGTGCGATACTCCTAAGCCTGGTGACTCGGACGGTACCTTATTACCACTCTTTGTGCCGCCATGAAAATCACACCAGCGATAAACCTGCATCTCGTACCGTCACTCCGCTACCACGTGATCATCAGCATTTGCGTGCAGACTAGGGCTATGCTAGGCCGCCCAACAGCTACCCAAGCTCTAACTGGTGATCAGTGGATTACAATTCAGGCATCTGAACCACTCTGCCATATGCCTAACTTCGCACTGGTATTCCCGCTCCAAATGAACTTCGGCCGCAGCAGAACTGTTAGTTTTACTGCTAACTATTCGGTCTACATGCACTATACTTGCACATACCCTTCTCAGTGATATATAGATACCCCTTTTATTACACCTTCATTCAAGTCCTTTACCTTTGCCGTGGCTATCTAAGGTGCATGCGGAACCGATCAACCGCCTAGTGTAGATGATCGGATACTATCTGTCCTGCTGTTATGTGGTGCATTCATAATAATGTTCCCACTGAGTCCACTATTTTCCCTAGCTTTACAGCTAGATTCCTGCGATCCTGTTGCTCATTTACTTGGAACATTATCAGGGATAATCACTAATTATTCTTATTGTGATCTGATTGCATTGCCTGTACACACTCTTCATCCGTTCCTTAGCGCATACCCCTAATTCAGCTTGGAATACCACCGCTTGACTTTCATCTGTTCATATCCTACCTCTGCCGTATACTTTTTTGGCACATTGAGTAACTTGATACCTCTTTCAATTAGTGTGTTCTGGGATATTGCTTTGATTTATATCATTTCTTTACTCGCACACCAATTATTGTCCATCCCATTTTCTTCCGGCAGTCATGTCCAATCCTTCTGAAGGCGGAATCGAAGCACTGAGCTCAGGAAATCCAATTGAGGATGTTCATAATATGCTCAACTCTAGATATCCAAACTCCTATGCTGTATACAATCTGAGTCCGCGTCCCTATCGTTCGGAACGCTGGTTCGATGGTCGTGTTTCACATCGTGCCCTAGAGCCGCATCGAGCACCTCCGTTGAAGTCTTTGGTGGAACTTTGCTTGAACGCTAGATTGTGGTTGAGCCAAAGCCCAAAGAATATTTGTGTGGTCCACTGCACAGATGGGCGTTCCTTGTCCGCAGTGCTCGTGTGCTCTTTGTTGTGCTTTTGCCGTCTGTTCGACAATGCATCTCCTGCCCTGCAACTGTTCTCCTCAAAACGTGGTAATCCGCGATTGAACGCTTCTCAGGTTAGGTGAGTTAACGCTGTGCCACGTCGCTTTTAGTGTGCACTGGTCATCCACATCGCGTCGTCGCAATCCTCCGGATCAAGTTATCCACATTATGTGCATCATGCTAACTGAGCGTTTTTCTAGCTTATGTTCATGTTTTTATGGAATTTCCCTCTTCTCTTGGTTTCTTTGTGTACATGTGCATTTCTCAGGCATTACTTTAGCTCGTTATATGGCCTAGTGAACCACTCACTCCGCACTGAATGAGTCGTCTCCTTGTTGCTTTTGTAGCCACCAACTCATCTTGGTTGTCAAAATCCTCTTGTTGATCGGTTGATGCATTCTAGCTTCCACAACCTACTGTGCCAAACCCTTGCTTAGTCTTTTTTCTCGAACCTTGAGTCATGTTTTATTCCCCACTTCAGTCACACCGGCTTCTTTACGCCCATTTACTGGTTAAGTCTTGCATTGTGACTTGCACCGAGTGAAAAGCTTACAAAGTACTACAGGTACATAGTCTTATACTTTAAAAGGCAAAAGGTCATGAACCAAACACTTCTACGGTGACGATTGTGGTCAATAGCACTAAGAAGCCGCTGCACCATGTTAGTCCTCTCAACTTTCTGCAACGTTCGAAGTGATAACGTGAGTTATAGAGACACCGTAGCCTAGAGGTAACGAGCTTGTCTCGTAAATTTGCGGCGCATGTTTGAATCCGCTTAGGAGTGGGCGTCCTCGCGGTATACTCAGCCCGCGCACGACTGGTAGTGGTCACACGGCAGCAAAGCGCCTTTACGGCGTACGGCTGGCACATTCTTTTTTATTTTTTTACACCGTTAGTCTTGATTTCCCTAAAGCAACAACGCCTACCCTTATTACTTTGTCGCGTCCTGCGTCATTGTATTCTTTCCTATAACTACAGTTGCCTATATACACCATTTTGTTCCGTTTTTTTATTCTTGTCCTCCCATCCCTAGGTATATCGGTTATGTGGCTCAGATGGCACATCAGCGCGGTCCCTCACCGCATCACCGACCTTTGAAATTGATCAGTCTCACTGTGGCTCCCGTCCCTACTTTCAACAAATCCAAGTGCGTTCTTCTTGTCCGTAGATATTTGCAGTTATTTATATTGTCAACTAGGCGATTCTGTAAGCTATTTTCGTCATCAGACTAAATTGCGCTTTGTGTTTGTGTCCATTTTCAGCAGGCACTCACACTTCCACGCTTTATAGTTTCCGATCCTGTCCGTCTGTCTTTTGAATTCCAATCAAAATGGTGCTTGATTTTCAGTTTATGACTTTCGCCGTCAACTTCTCTCTTCCGTTATTACCCTTTCGTGAAGCTAACACAGTATAGATATTTGAGTGAGTGTTAGCCGCGACAGCACACGCCAGCGAACGTTCATTTCTACTAGGCTAGGCTAACGGTTGGATGAGCAATCGGTTCTCCACTGTTCCTTACATTCTTCTGGCGTTTTCAGCTCACCTTATCATACCCTCATGTTTAACAACCTCAACGATCCCGAATCCTTGTTTTTTCAAACCTTTTGCCAGTTACCACTAGTTAACTTTATTCTGGTTATCTTCCATATTTTTCCCCTTCAGAAATGGTTGCAGGCCGTACGTGGAGGTTTACGAAGGCAAATCACAAGTTCTTTCTACGTTTACCGATTACGAAAGTCTCAAGTACGTTTCTTTACACGTTTATGTGCACCTTGAAGGTGAACAAAAGTACTTTCCTCCTCATGCATTCTTTCTAAAATTGTGTTCCTCACTGCAGCTTCCAAATCTGATATAGTCTTCTATGTGCCCGAAAAAGCACTAGTCACCCGTTTCGACCTGTTGAGCTTCGTCAAACCATTCACTACAATTCTTTCATCGGCTCCATCAGGTTCCGAACCGCCAGCCAGAAGCTTATGGCATTAAGACATAGGGGACAGCAGCGGGCTGTCATGATTAAAGTGGAGATGACAGAGTCTGTCCCGAAAGGATTCTTAACCCAACACTCATTTGGTTTCGATTTTCTCACTGAAATGTGAATATCTGTTGTGCTGAAAACCAACATTGCCCATGATTCGTTGGAGACACGACTTCCAGTGACAGTGCCTATGTACGAACTTTCAACCATTTATACATAACAATCCCCTACTCATGAGTAAATCAAAATATTCCCCCATAACCAATTTTACATGCTTACTCAGTCTCTCGAGGTGAACTTGCTTGATCAGCCCACTCTGTTGGACTGTGCCTCGCACGGTCGAGGAATAGCCCGTGTATCTATTTGTTTGTGTATTGATTTATTTTTTTTATAACTCTGTCCTCTACAACGCTCGTAACTTGCATGACAGTGGAGGATGAGACGCGCTATACGCCCGCTAGCACTCCGGTTATGCAATGATAATTTTGTTTTTGGGACGTAGAAAAAGCATTCGACCGTGTACCACACAAACGTTTGTTGAAGAAACTTGAATCCTTTGGAATCCAGAACCAGCTTTTTAATTGGGCTTTCTTCCTACCTTAGCAATCGGTCTCAAATAGTCAATTTGGGTGATCAGCACTCTTCTCGTCATCCAATAAGCAGCGGCGTCATCCAAGAAACTGTACTGGGCGCTCTGCTTTTTTTCCTCTACATCAATGCTACTAGCATGTCCACCAAAAATGGCCAACTCTTTCTATTTGCTGATGATATCAAGATGGTTTATAAACTGCCGTGTGATGCACTTCAGAGCACACTTACTTTAAGAAAATCTTCACTGTCTTATAGAATGGTCTCAGACGTGCTTCATAAAATTCTCAATCGATAAGTCAAACATTGTGCCATGTGGTTGCTCGGTCTTCGATGGGCAAATTAAAGTTAACAATAAAAGTATATCCATACGGCAGGCTACTCGTGGTCTTGGAAGCCGTTTTGTTGAACAAGCCCAACACTAAATAGCTCGGGCTAAACAATCCTTGGCTAGCAAATGCCACGAAGTTCATACATTCCCTGCCAAATTGGAATTATTTAAAACTCTCACTCGTCCTCTTCTCGAATACTGCAACTTCATCTATAGCATCATGGAGAAGTTAGACAAGAAAGCTATTAAAAGTTCACAGAGGTCATTCACTAAACGTTTGTTCAAAAGCACATCCACTCTAAACTATCGCGAACGTTGCAAACAGCTTCACATCGAGCCTCTCTGACTGCGACGTTTAAAGGAAAACTTGATCCTCCTGCACAACTTGTTGCACCAGAAAACGTGCCCTTACCTACATAAAATAAACACAATAACCATCACAGACTCCGTAACAAACAATTCACACTACGCATACCATGGGCTAAAACATCAATGCGGTCCAACTTTTTTCTCATCAGATACGCCGTCCTGTGGAACTGCCTACCAACCGCATTCATGACAAAAGGAACGCCCATGTTATTCCACACCAAACTTGGCAGATTCCCAGATCTAGAAGTGTTCTCATCCATGTTCTCATCCGACGACTCACCTGATGAACTATAGCAAGATGGTCCAAAAAATATCTACAAGGCTAAGAATTGGCGTAAACATGCACTCATGCAAGAGCATTATCATTTCTTTACATACTGATCTGTTCCTAATTTAGGAACAGTTTCTCACACTTTCGGGAAATATACGTATATATATAACCGTCCGCCTCTGCCCCCCATGGCTCAATGATCTAAGCTGCTGATTGACATTGTAAGTGGCTAGTGGTCATGGATCCGGAACTTGATGGAGCCGATTAACCCGCACTGTCAGCCAATCCCAACCAGTCGAAATGGTCGTCTAATGTTTTTCCGGTCATATAGAGGACTATCTGATTTGGACGATGCTACCAGGAACCGTCAATTAATTACATCGAAAATCCCCTACTCATGATTATTTTCTGGATATGTAGTACCTCTCTTGTTTTGGCATATTCGCAGCAAACGAAGTATTCGGTCTATAGTATCTATCTCTCGAATGTAGTCAGTTTTCTTTCGACTTTAGACGCCCCATAGAGATTGTAAATTTTCCCCCCATAGATACTTTACCCAACCGAACTACTTGAAGTTCGTTGTTGAACTGTAAAAATGCATTATAGAAAAACACAGAAATCCGTAGCAGACTGGTACTACTTAAGCAGAACGAGGTGCCTGCCCCAGACGATCTTCTACCATCGTTTCTGATGGACGGCGGTGACTCATTCGTGACGATTTCGGCAGCTTTTCTTAATATTATTTGGCGCAAGGATGAAGTGTCCTCTGACCGGCCATTGTCAACTGTGGTTTACATCTTCAAAAATGGTCAGAGGGCTTCGTAATGCCAACCTCACCCCGATTATCTTCAAACCACTAACACACATTGTGCTATCATCTCTACTCAGATTGAGGGTGCGTTGATCTTTTTTTCAAATTCTTTGCCTGGTGACCCAAAGTTACCGTACCTGCAAACGAATAGCAGTGACAATTTTCTTTAACTTAAGCGCCGTCTTCGCTTTGGGTACTCATACATACTCTTCATTAGCGATGCCCAGCTCTAAAGGAGGTGCCTCTTCTGTACTCTCTGTACCACAACTTCCGTGGCCGCTTAGGGACCTACGGAAATATCTCCCCTGAGTTCACCATAACAAGTGCACTACTACATCTGAATTGCTACACCTATCCCTTGCTCTTCAACTTACTGGCCGAAATGCTCAAGAATATGTCTATCTCATACCTCCTCTCACTCACTCTGGATTGGAGACTTTGTTGAGTGATTGGCTGTCAAGATCAAACCACACGGACGATTTATCACAGTGGATCTAACACAGTCGCTATTGAATAAGGAATCCAGTTTGTGAGGAGATCTCTTCTCAACAATTATCATTATGCCGTCACAGCTGTGATAAATAATCAGGCGACACAGTATGCTACTGAAACATGAGTTGAAGGCTACTAATTCACAGACGTTTGAACGAGACCAATACTGAGATCGATACACTGAGGGCAGGCCTCGCAGCCGACGGTATGCTGCTAGCTTCCATCGTCGGGCAGTTTCCTTTGGGTTATGGCCAGAGGTGGGTTTGTACGAGAACCTTCTGCTTACACTAGTCAGGCTGGATCAGTCTGATGGCGATTGCTTCAGCCATCTTCATTAGACGCTTTCTGAGTCCTTTAGGATAACGTGGTGACACGGAGTAGAAACTTTAAACGCATCTGCTATCCGAATTTAATGTCCGCTTAGGAGTAAGTGCTCAATGATAGCACTGGGTTGCTTCTAGCCGTGCCTTTACGCAGTGAACCTGGACAGTGTCCTGCCACCCATTTTGATGAACACCTAGTCGAGTGTCCAAGATAGTTTGTATCACAGGTGCAAGTAAATTGATACGGAAGGCATGATTTGGACTGAACCGAGCGTCTGTCCTTAAGATGTCGTGTAACAAAGTGTACAATCTGCACAAACACGTGAGCAAGCGGTGGGTTAGGTGTAAACTACTGCGACCTTGAGTCCTCTCCTCACTAGATCAACGGTGACATCCCCTTTGAATGAAACTGAAAACAGCACGTCATTTTCGGCACGGTCATTACGGTTTCCCGACGCACACGGATTGTTACATGCTTTCTGTTAAACTGAACAGGATATCCATTCTCTTGAAACGTTCTGAAAATACCGTCTTTCTCCTTATCCAGCATCTTCGTACTCCAGCTTCTGGCGGCACGATAATACAAGCAACGAACTAAGTTCCGTTTGGACTCGAGAGGTACAATGCTCAAAAATAGTATGTATTGGCCGACCCATAGAGGTTTCCGGAGAACTCTTCTCCAGAGTCATCGTTCAGTCGCCTCAGCAAAATGTCCAAAAAAGTCAATTTTCCCTCGCTCTTAATCTCAATGATGAAGTACCATGATGGCGCCTGCACCTTGTGTCAATAACATACCGTCACAAACAGCTGGCTATCATGTGAAGATAAAGCGACACCGGCGAGATAGCTTCCTTGCGGCTTTCACTGCCTCACATCATAGTCAGCTTTACCCCGCAGGTAACTCAGCACCAAACACACTTTGACAATGCACTCCGGCTAGGAGACGACAGCATACGCGAAACTGGTGCCAACTGCTAGCCATGTCTTGTAACGTCTCGAACCAAACAAAAGGCGGGTCACATGGACTCCAGTCTGGAAGACGCGACGGACCAACGGCACCCAGTTTTGTGGCCAATAGCTTCATTTCCTACTGCCCACCTCGAGCCTTGCGCCACCCCTCAGTAGGCAAACAAGACAAGGCTATCCACTGTAAGCTGTGACTGGTCACACGTAATACGTGTCCAAGCCAACACAATTTATTCAGTACTATCTGCTGTTCTATGGAACTAGCCTGATGATCACTACCTAGCACTCGCCAACTCACGTCATCCTTGCGAACACGCAGTTGGCGTCCGACACCACCAGTGCTTCGCAGACAACGATGATTAAAGACTTGAAGGCGCCGCAGATCCTCTGATCGAAAGGGCTATGCCCCACTCCCATAGAATAGGACGGCCCTCATTGTGGCCTTGTAAACCGAGGGAAACTCCTTTCTGACACCAAAAATGTCGTAGATTCAAGAAGACCGTTCTAGCTTTCGCAATATATGAACTGATTTCAGTGCTTATGCGCCCGTCGTTGCTGTTGCAGCTACCAACGTAAGTGAAGTGACCAGCTACCTCGAGTTCCTCGCTATCAAGGGT